AGTGTGAAGTCATTCACCCAAGATCAGGTAACTCTTAAGTCAGGAGACTTTTGCCCTCAAATCCAGAGCTTTTTCCACACTACACTGAAGGATAAGGAGGGTTTAGGGAGGAAGAGAAAGCAAGAAGAGCATTTCAAGTGTGGGAAACAGGATTAATATTTTATTATTACATTGAGCTCATTGGCTCCTGAGAGCCAGCCTATGTCCCCAGATGAGAAGCCACTCCAGTCTCTTAAAATACCTGCTCTTAGACTATCTGGGTCAGGGAAAGGAGGATCACAGGGTCTCCTTGTGGTTATTTTTAACTTTTTAAAAAGACTCTTTAAAGGAGAAGATAAAAATTAGGTCAGAAAGTTTATCATCTGAAGGATGATATTATCTGCAGGAAGCCGTGAAGTAGGAAGTGATGGGTTTTCCATCCTGACATGGGAGCTGCAGAGAGGGTCCCTACAGGGTCACTGGGGAAGCAGAGACAGGTGGGTTGGTGGACTAATTGGCCAGCCAGGTTAGCCTAATCAGAAAGCCTCAGAACCCAATGACAGATCCTGTCTCAAAAATCAAGGCAGACAGCTCCTGAAGGACTCCTCCCCTGACAGCTGACCTCTTCACATTCATGTACACATCTGTGCATGCACACCTGCACACACACGTCTGCAAACATGTGAAAATTTTAAAAAACATAAAATGAGTTAAATTGAGAAGTGATTCCCTAAGGTCCCAGAGGTCACACAGAAAAAAAATAGATTTTTCTCAACATGCCCACTTAGAATCTGATCTGGGCAAGAGCATCAGAGACAGGAAGCCTCATGGGCAGCAACTCCCCATGATGTTTTCCTTCAAGACACAAGCAATGTTACCATATTATTTTAAGCTACTTTTATAATCCCCCATGAAGCTGACCTCTAATATTGTAACTCTCTCTTTGATTGGATTTGGGTCCCAGAAAACTTTGAGAGTAATAAGATCTTTGTGCTCGCTATTCCTCTGGAAAAAGAGGTACTATTTTTTACTTTGCCCTAAAACTATTTCTTTAAAATGATAAAAAAATAATAATTGTTCCTAGTTTTATCCTCTGGCACTTAATAAGTTCTTATTTTTATCCTATGATTTTCATTATTTCATAAATTTCAATCATACTCTTTTCTTAGCCTGTGGCTTTCCAGAATGAAGAGCCCTAATTCTTTTTATCACCCTTCACTTTTAAAAATATGCTCTCTGCACTCTTGATCAAATGAGATGTCCTTCTGTAGACCTTGACTGGCTCTGGGTATCTTTGAAGTACATCAAATCACCAGGCCCCCATCACTTTGTCTATTATTCTGTATAAAAGAGCACAATGACTCCAGCTAAAATGGAAAATCCTTTTCGAGACTTTTTTTTTTTTTTAAATCAAGCAGTCTCTTTGCTCTGTGTCAATCCAGCATATGCTGAAAAGGCATGCGTTTTCCTTTGATTCTGAAGGGAAGTTAACACACAGGTACAAGGCAGCCTTGTAATCCATTGTGAAAATGGCAGCTTGCAAAGCTTTCACCTCTATCATCTCATCTGACCCTGGCCTGAACCACAAGATGCAGAAGAAAACGTACTATTATCCTTATGTTTCACAGGCATAAAGCAAGAAGCTGAGTCTGACCCAAGATCAAAGAGTTGGAGTTAGAGCCCCAGTCCCTGGCCCTCCGGGCAGGATGTAGTCCCTGTATAGAACAACCTTCCTTGTAGCGGCTTGTCACTTTAAATCCCAAGCTATCCCCTCTTAAGTTTCTTTCGGTGGTCTTCAACAAAGCCTTGAAATAGTCTACAGGCCTATTAATAGGAAAGAGCCTCATGGTCTGTACAACAATCTTCCTTTCTCACATCATTGGGTAGTCTCAGTCACACTGCGTGTCAGGAGCACCTGCAGGCCAGTAACTCCTGCATTCATGTATCTAGACCACACTCCTCTCTTCAGAGCACCAAGTAGACACTTAACACTCTTGGGTATCTCAAAATGTACAGAACCTCATCTCCTTGATTATACCCCTCTCCATTGTCAGAACCCAACCCTTTCATGGTTCCTCCGATGCAACATATGTCCAGAAAGTTGGCACCACCTTGACACTTCTCCCTTCCCTTTTGTGCCTATATCCAAGCCAACATCAAGTCCTTCCACTTTCATCTCCTGCGTAGCTCAACATTATGAACACATTTCTCCTTCCCTGTCATAACCAACAGACAGCCAAGCTGCAGTGGTCCCTTATGTAGAATGCACTCCTCCTTGATCACTCCCTTTCAATCCTTCCCCTCTATACTTGGTGGAAATCTAAAAGATAATTCTGGTCACATCCACTTGTCCCATCCCTGTTAAAACACTTCACTGGCATTGCTCTTACGGCAGAGTCAAAATTCAAGCCAATGTGTGCCCTGCTCCATACTTGCAGGATCATCTCACAATGCTCACAGGCTTTTCTGGAACTCCAGCCTCACTCACCTACCTTCAGCTCCTTTTGCTTTCATTAGCCACGGGGTCCTAGAATATTCCCTTCTTCCCTGTTGAAATTTCTAGAAGCCTCCATCTTTCAGATCGATGATGCTTAAGAGGCTGTTATCATATACAAAGCCCTGCCCCTATTATATCTTACCTGACACCATCCAGCATTGTTATGTTTTTGTGTTTGTTTTGTTTGACTTGAGTTAGGGTCTCATTCTGTAGACTAGGCTGGCTTCGAACTTGGGGTGATCAGCCTGTTTCTGTCTCCCAAGAGTATGTGTGCACACCTGACGAGTTTTTGTGGGTTTTTTAGGGGTGTGTGGGTGGGTGTGTGCAATCGTGGTAGATTTACTATCTCCTCCACTAGATTTGTAGCTCTTTGTCCACGACAATCTTCCCTGCATAGGGCTGAGCACTTTGTACATGGTCCCCCAGCAATGAGAGAGCTACAGAAACCAGTGCAGACCATCAGAGTGTAGCAATAAGCTCTGATGATGAAAAGAACAGGAAGAGTAGGGTCCAGAACTAAGAGGACTTTGAAAAATCACTTCTATTTGATTTTCTTATGTAATCCTAGAAGGAAAACTTAAGAAGGAACAGCCTACCCCCCCATTTATTTTTATTAAATCCAGGTGAGTGGATGATGTTATCTCTATTCCTTCACTTGCTAAATACCAGCACATTTATTATCTTTATCATAGCACAAATAGAAAAGATTACTTTCTAGATTCACACATATACAAAAGAAGAAACATTACCAAACACATTGGGGAGAAGTAGATAGCATCATTCCATGGGTCAGAGCAGAAAATCTCACTTTGGTTGTTAACCCTTTAGGTGGGTCAGTATTGGGGATTGAACCCAAGACCTGACAAATGTGAAGCAATCTCTCTGCCATGGAGCTACATCCCCAGTCTCTCACACTAGATGGGAGAGAGAGACAAGTAGACCAGTCCATCATTACTGAAAAGGGAGAGGCAGGGCCATGGGAGTGCTTTCTGCAGCAGCCAGCCTCTGAGGAAGAATTAGGAAGTCTGTGAATATAGAATAAACACTGTCATTTGGAGACATATTGATTCTTTTTTCATACTAATGGCTCAGATGGTAGAACCACCAAACAATGACTAAAATATGAGTCAGATGCTTTCAAATCAAATCATTTCAATGAAGCAGGAAGACAGGCGAGCAGAGAGCAAGTCATTAGAGGCTCTAAGCAATACCTGCTAAATCTGAAATCCATTCTCCTTAATGACTGCCTCTTCCCATCCAAGTCATTTTGACATTAGTGGGCTGGGGACATTCAGTATTCACTGCCTGTGACACCCACTGACCATCCATGCTCCATGGAAAAGGCACATTCTTTCCCAATTCTGATTCTCCTTCCTTCTCTTCCAGCATGTCTTCAGTGATGCCAAAGGGTTAGAGACATACTGTAGTTGCCCTCTGTGGTGTTTTAAAAGAAAATTGCCCTCAAAGGGAGTGGCACTATGAGGAGATCTGGCTTTGTTGGAGTAGGTGTGGTCTTGTTGGAGGAAGTGTGTCACTGTGGGGGTCGGCTTTAAGGTTCCTATGCTCAAACTATACCCAGTAAGACAGACCACTTTGTTGCCTGTGCAAGATGTAGGACTCTCAACTACCTCTCCATTGAGCCATTCTTCTGGTCCTAAACATAGCTGTTTTTAAATAGTCTAAGGCAGTTACCAGAGAGCAAAACCTCTTGCCACACTTCTTGGCACAGAAACAACTTAATACACAAAATGACCCACGTGCACCAGTTGTGTCAAGTGCTGGTTTATAGTCTATCAAACCCCTTCCTTTTTTGACAATTATCATTCAAGTGTCATAAGAAACAGAGTACAGCAGTTTATCAGGAATTCATTCTACAAGGAATTCATGTCCTGGTAAACCCTCCACAAGTTGGAAGTCTCACACGTTGGAAATGAATTTACTACCTCTGACCTACACATCATCATAGCCTAGCATCAGGACAAGGGGGACTGTCTGGGAGCCTCAGCAGTGCTGTCCAGCAGGAGGCAAGCGTATTGTAACATAATGTGCTTTGCTGGTATGTGAGAAAACCAAAATTCAAAGCGAGGAGTCTACTGGATGCCTATTGCTTTGATAGCTAATGCTCCCGGTGCAGTGAGAGACCCTGCCTAAACATAGGAAGTGGAGAGAGACTGAAGAAGACAGCTGACATTGACCTCCTCAATGTCTTCCATACTCATAACATACACTCCATGTGCACCCCCCCACAAGTGTGCCCACACACATGTAAATACAAACATACCACACACACACACAAACACACAATATCTTCACAAGCATTTTGAAACAGAATGTACGTATATAGTGGGGAAATCACAAATAAAACCATCCTAATTCAAGGAGTGTCTGCAGAATGTTCAGCACCTGATAAAAGTGTATGTCTCCCCCAACATGCCAGGATGAAGTCAGATCTCCCCCCGCCCAGCTCAGCATTCCACAAAACACACACTGCTCTCGCCCCTGAATCTATAAATTTACTTAGAAGTAACAGCAACACATCTTTATTTAAAAGTGTTTTATTGTGGCAAAACATGTATAACATTTACCATTGCAACCATTTTTAAAACAATTGGAAGTGTATCCTTCAGTATTTCATTAGGGTAATCATTACTACCATGAATTTCCACAGATTTTTTTTTTTAATTTTCCCAACCTGAAACTCCACATGCCTTAAGCAACTCCCTATTTCTCCCTATTTCCCCCTGGAAGAGGTGTTAAGTTTACCAGCATCTATTCCAGAGGGGCTCCTGATGACCACCTACTTTATGTCTCACTGGCATACAATATATATGCAACCTAATATATATTACATATATATGTTTTGTGTGTGTGTGTGTGTGTGTGTGTGTGTGTGTGTGTTATGTGTATATATAAAAACACTAGTATGCATATTTATACATTCACCTGTCAAAGGGCATTTGGGTTGTTTCCAGAGTAACATATCCTTAATATAATCCCACAATTTAAGATTCTAGACAAATTAAATTGAATGATAAAAGGTATTGGAAGTCAACAGGGGATTCAAACATGGTACCTAACTCTCAAGGAACTTGTAACTTGTATGGAAAGGAGAGAAAGTAGGAGGAGCCAGCATTGACTAATGGATTACCATTGCTAGGTGCTTTACCCGAATACCTCATGTACTGCCCATAGCAACGTTGAAAGTCAGATATTATAACAGTCACTTTGCAACAGTGATTCTCAACCTTCCTACTGCTGTAACCCTTTAATACAGTTCCTCATATTGTGGTGACCCCCAACCATAAAATTATTTTTGTTGCTACTCCCTAACTGTAATTTTACTACTGTTATAAATTGTAATGTAGATATCTGATATGCAAGATATCTGATATGTGACCCGACCCCTGTGAAAGGGTTGGTCAACCCCAAGGAGTCGAAAACTACAGGTTGAGAACTACTGATTTACAGCAAGAAAAGCAAAAGTCAATCACTTGAGTCACCACCGGGCAGCAGGGAGGTTGAGATTCAAACCCACATCTTAGATTCAGAACCCTGTGTTCCATCTACTACACATGTGTCCCTATGATTCAAGGGGAGTGTGGCAAATCCTGGGGGGTGGAGTCGGGAAGGCAGCAGCGGCAGAGAGCAACACATTCCTGAGAATGAAGGCAGATGGAAAAGGCCAGGCCTGCAAACCAGAAAGGCCTGAGAGGTGGAGGAGAGAAGACCACAGGAACAGAACACAGGGAGGGGAGATCGGCAAAGGCACTTAGGGAATGGGGGATGGCAGATAATGCTAGGAAAGGCCTGAGCTCTGCAGTGCATGAAGAGCTGAGACACTGAGACTTAATCAGAGCGCATTCAGGGAGACACCATGGCAGTAATGTGGCACGTGGCTGAAGGGGATGGGAGAGTTCAGCCATAGGAAAGCCAGTTAGAAGACCCCTGGAAACAACAGGTGAGAGAGAAATAATCAGAATAGAAACGGAGGTGTAGAGGCATGGGGCCAACTCTGGGGTCGGGGACAACAGACTTAACATTTGAAACACTCTGACATCAGTGAGCACACATCCTGGCTTGCCCGAGACATGGTCTCCTTGTGGAACTACTAATTGTACCCTTTTCTCTCAGAAAGAGCAGAGTTGGGGCAAGAATCTCTCGATCACACTGATTATGAGCAGCAAGAAAGCAGAACCAAAGGGAACTGACACCAAGATGCATCACCAGGGTCAGTGAGGAAGACAGAGACCTTTAAAATGCAGGAGGGAGATCAGATCCCGGGTCTGCTGCCTGGGTGAGGAGTTACTTAAGGGAGAGGAGCACCTTGCCCGTGGATTTGCGCTGAATCACGTGGAGGAAGGCATCATTGATCTAAAAGGAATCCAAAATGGAATTCGGTCAGGTTCACATATCCATATTCCAGCAAATATCTGTCAGTTATTAAATATTAAATATTAAATTATTAAAATATTACTATGAAATAATATTGAAGTATTAAGCTGCATCGGTATGAACTTTATATAACATGCACAGCTAAGTCACCACACATGCAAAGGAATACAATAATATTTAAGAATAACCAAAACACAGAATTTCTCCCCATCTATGCTTTTGATTTTCAGTGTTGTCAGATCAAAATAAGTGACAGCAGGCAGAAAGTCCTCATTCTACTAGAAGAATTTTGTGTCAGCTTTTGAAAGAATGATACCCCTAGAAGAAGAATCAATACTTTAATTTTTTAAATTTTTGTCATTTTATTAAAATTAACCCAGTTCCTCTGCAACTAAAATAACAACATATCACAAATCCTTTTTCAGAAATTCAAAGTTATAAGGCAGTCATAGTAATGAAAGCAACATGACACTGGTAGAAAAATAGATTGATGGAATGGAACAACGGGCCCCAAAATAGAGCCACACACACACAGCCAACTGATCTTTAACAGGAGCAAAAGCAGCTCAATGGAGAAAGCAGAATGCTTTCAACAAACAGTACTGGGAAAACTGGAGACCTGCATTTAAAAACAAAAGGTGACATAGGCATTCACAAAAATTACTCAAACCAGTTCATAAATTTCAGTGTGAAATGCAAAACTATAAAACTTTCGGGAGACAACACTGAAAAAAATCTAGTTCACTTTGGATTTCACAATGAATTTTTGGATGCAGCACCAAAAGCACCCATCCATGAGGGAAAGATTTGTAAATAAACTTCATGAAAATTGAGAACATTGAAGCTGGCAAGATGACCCCTCAGGTCAGTGTGCTTACTATGCAAGCCTGGTGACCTGGGTTTGATCCCCAGAACCCACACAAAAGTAGAAAGAGAATCTGACTCCACAAAGTGATACATGCACCCCACACACACATAATAATAATAATGATGATAATTTTTCAGTTAAAATATTTGGGACTACAGAGATAGTTCAGTTAAAAAAAAAGCATATGAACCTGAATTAGGGCCCCCTGAACCTACATAAGGAATCTCCTGTTTTCCTGTGACCCCCAGCTAGGAAGGCAAAGACAGGAAGATTCCCTGAAGCTTACTGGCAGTCAGTCTAGCCATATCAGTGAGCTTCAGGTTCGATGAGAGACTGTGTCAAAAGCCAAGATAGAGATTGATACAAGAAGTCACCTGGCAATGGCAAACTGGGCAGAAGACACTCAGTAGACAGAGATAAAAACAATAATGAGACCCGCTATACACCTATTAGAATGGCTAAGAGCCATGGCACTAATACCAACAGTGGTGAGAAAGCGGAGCAGCAGGATCTCTCACTCATTCTTGGTGGGCAAGGTGGCACAGACACTGTGGAAGGCAGTGTAACAGTTTCCCACCAACCTAAACATGCATTTGCCATACAACCCGGAAACAACATTTCTGGGTCTTCACCCACATAAACTGAAAACTATGTCAAGATGAAAACACATACATGAATGTTCATAACAGTCTCATCCACAACTGGGAAAACCTAAGAGCAAGTGCCTTTCAACAGGCAATTGGATAAGCAACCTGGTATATTCATGCAATAAAGAATCATTCGTTGACAAGAAAAAATAAACTAAATTGGGCATGTTGGCACACATCTTTAATCTCAGCAGTCAGGAGACAAAGGCAAGGGAATCTGAGTTAGAGGCCAGTCTGATCTATGGAGTGAGTTCTAAGACAATCAGGACTACATAGAGAGATGAAAAAAGACCCTGTCTCAAAAAAAGAAAATGAAAGGAAAGAAAATAGGAAAAAATGAACTATCAAGCCACAGAAAGTCATAAAAGAACCTTAAGTGAATACTGTTAATGAACCAAGAATAGCCTGAGGATGATGCCAACCACATGACATTCTGAAAAGGCCAAAATTACAGAAACACCAGAAAGAGTAGTAACTGCCAACGATAGGGAATAAGGGGCTGAGTATGAAGATGTGGAGCCCAGAGGATTGTTTGGGGAAACTATTCTGTAGGCTATGTAATAGTGGTTACATAATAACAAAACCCACAGAGCTGTACCACACAGAGAGTGAGACTTAATGTGCACTCCCCACCATGATTAACATTTTTCATGTGCAGGCGTTGGCTCGTCGGTTGTAACAGACACGCCACACCAGTGCAAGGTGCTAAGTAAGAGCAGGAACTTCTGACTATGTAAGAGGGAGTATGAGAACTCTATACTTCCTCTTGAAGCTTTCTGTATACTTAAGCCTACTTTAAAAATAGTCTATAGATAAATGATGAGGACAAAGAATGAAATTAAAAAGCAAAGAGTGGAATGAACCAAACGGTCACTATTTGCAAACAGAGTAATAGCCTACATAGGAAAATGAACCAAAGCAACAAAAATAAGAAAGGCCATCAAAGTAGGGGAACAAAAAAATGAGTTTATAAAAACTACTGTCTGTCTCTATATTGGAAATATTAATGAGTAAATGTAGCAGAAGTAAAATGCTGTTCTCAAAAGTAAAAACAAAAAAAAAATAGTAACATTTATGAAAATGTAAAGAATATCTCATAAGATCTTATGGAAAATACTTTAATCTCTACTAAAAGACATGAAAGATCTAAACAAATGACTGTAGAGCCCTACTTACAGATAAAACAACAAATATGAAAAGGAAGAACTAAGGTGTAAAGTTACCCTGCTATGTACTAAAACATACTTCAAAGCTACACACATAAGAACTGTACAATGCTAGTACACAAGCATATATTTGAACCACAAAAGGAGGAAACAGAGAGCAGATCTGTATGTCCTCAAACTCGAAGATGAAAGTACTGCCCTGATGGGGACATCCTTCTGTGTATGTTTATCTTATTGGTTGTTGAATAAAGCATTGGTCTGCCACGAGGCAGCAAGTTAGGTGGGACTAGGAGTCTAGGAAGATTCTGGGAAATGTAGTAAAGTCTTGTGATCCAGGCAGGAAGTGACATAGGAGGCAGACATAGGAAGCAGGGACAAGTAGGAAGTCGTTCTCTTCTTCCACCCCTCTGTGGAGCCGCCATGTGATCCCAGGAAGACAGGACACATTTCACTGACATCCTCCATAAGATAAGTCTTATGATTATGGTTGATAATTAAGACTGAGCTAGCAGATAAGTATTCCTAGTCATTGGCCAGCAGCATTGTACCTAAAATTAATCTCAGGCAGCTGGCAGAAAGACTTATCATTACAGCACCCCATATCACGGAAAAAGACTATAAGGCTGAGAAAACTTGCTTGCTTACTACAAATAGAAAGATAAAAATTAGTTGGCTGAGATACACACAATGCAAAGGTAACTAAATAATAGTCAGCCCTTACGGTGGCATAACACTATAAATGTGCTGGACAGTGAATCCTGTGTCTACAATCCTAGCTAGTCTGGAGGCTGAGACAGGGAGATAACTTTAGCACAATTGTTCAGTGCTGTGACCCTTTAATACAGTTCCTCACATGTGGTAACCCCCCAACATAAAATTATTTCATTGCCACTTCATAACTATAATTTTGCTACTGTTATGAATCATAGTGTAAATATCTGCTATGCAGGATATCTGATATGGGGTCCCTGTGAAAGGGTTGTTTGAGCCCCAAAGGGGCTGCAACCCACTGGTTGAGAACCATTGTCCTATCTCAACAACTCAAAACTATAAAATTAATAAACAAGAAAATCATTTTGGCCCTGGGATAATGAAGGACTCTGTGAAACAAGTCATCCCAATCACAACCATAAAACAAAATATTGATATGTCCGAGTAGCTGAGCTGTAGACAATGGTAGCAAAGTGAGACAGACTGGGAGGCTTCTGCAACCTAACCGCTCAAAGACTAGTTCAAGGTCCACAACTGTCTGCAATCTCGAGACCCACCTGTATCTTTAGAGAAGCCTAACCTGAATTGTAACAAGACCTCCAGGTGTGGTGGTTTACATGGGAAATATTGGTAAATACTGGACTACTTGGTCCCCAGCTAGTGTCGATGTTTGGGAAAGTTATGAAACCTTTTGAGGTGGTACCTTGCTGGAGGAAGTATGTCCCCAGGAGAGACCTTACCAGCTTACACTTCACTCTCTCTGCTTTGTGTTGGCTGTTAAAGATGTGATCTCTTAGCTTCCTGTTCCAGTCATCTGTTACTATGCCCCCCTATCATTATGGACTCTCCCACTGGAACCATAAGCTAAAATAAACTTTCTCTTCTGTAAGTCCCTTTTGGTCGTGGTGTTTTATCACAGCAACATAAAGGTAAATAAAACACTAGGTGACTTACAACACATCAAAGTTAAGAAACACAGACCACAAAGAATGGGGCCCCAAATAGAAACTCAAAATGGACAAAACACAATTCAAAGAACTGGAAACCTGATACCTTCTAAATACAGGAAGTGAGGGTTTGAGTGTGTGATTGTGAAGGAGGGAACATAGACTTGATGACTGAGTGGGGCCTTCCTCGTATGTGCTAGGCTAGCATACCACTGAGTTACAGCCAGCCAGCAAATATACAGATGCTTAAATGCATTAAAGTCAGGAAATCCACATTAAGATAAGAAGATATTTCTTTATGCCTTATTATTTGGGTAAATATCAGAAAGATGGACACTGTTACATAGCAAGACAAAATGACAAATAAACAAGAACTTTCACTCATTGCTGGTTGGGTCATTCAGCAGAGTGATTGGCAATCAGAATGAGTATGCATTTTACCATAACCCAACATTCCTGCTCCTGGCAAAACAGTCCCCCAAAAACAGCTGCACAAGTCCCTAAGTTTAGACCCATGAGGTTGTTTATTATTGTAGCTTATTATGGCATCATGAAATCAACCTTGAGGTTTATCGTGAGTGTATTTGCAAACCAAGGTGAGTGTATGCCACTACCACTGCCTGGTTCTGGGAAGCAATGG